GCGAGAGAGAGAGAGAGAGAGAGAGAGAGAGAGAGAGAGAGAGAGAGAGAGAGAGAGAGAGAGAGAGAGATTTGTGACATTTCAATTTGTCCATACGTACATAGCGACGACATTTGTTGACGGCATTCTCATCTCCTTCACCTCTTCATCTCATTCCCCTTCTCCTCATCCGTGTATGATCTGAGTCTGGCGCTTTCTTCTTGTGTGTAGCGCAAGGCCCCTCACACTATGTGATGATCATACTGTATGTTCCATCTGCATTTCGATCCTATCTATCCTACTATGACCAGCTAATGTATGTGTGATTGATTCACTGATTGTGTGTGTGTGTGTGTGTGTGTGTGTGTGTGTGTGCATGTGTGTGTGTGTGTGTTTGTGCATGTGTGTGCGTGTGGGGGGGGGAGGGGAAGGAGGACACCTCTCCCACCAATTAGTCAATCAATCAATCAATCAATCAATCAATCAATCAGTATTAATCAATCAATCAATCAATCAAAAAATCAATCAATCGATTGATTGACGGATTGATCGATTGATTGATCAATCGATTGAGCACGGAAGATACACAGTTCGAGAGAGAGAGAGAGAATCGGAACCAGGATTGCACATCTCGAACGTCGGGATCAATATCAGGGTCGGGATCGCGGCGATAAATCGATTCAGTCGATTGATATCGGGGTCGAGGTCGGGATATCAGGGTCGATATGAATATCGGGGTCGGGACCTTGATATGTCAAGATCCTATCGAATCAATCGATCCGAAATGATCTTGATATGTCAAGATCCTATTGAATCAATCGATTTGAAAGGATCTTGATGTGTGAAGATAGACAATTCGAATTGTCTTTCTTGACATATCAAGATCCTTTCGAATCGATTGATTCAATAGCATCTTGACATATCAAACATCATTTCGGATCGATTGATTCGTTGTGTGTGTGCACACGCACAAGAGGCGACCCCCCCGGCAACCAATCAATCAATCAGTAAAAGGGGGGGGAGGCGCACGGGAGGCCACCCCCCCGACAACCAATCAATCAATCAGTAACTGTGTGTGTGTGTGTGTGTGTGTGTGTGTGTGTGTGTGTGTGTGTGTGCACGGGAGGGGACCCCCCCCGCAATCAATCGATTCGCTGATTCATTGATTCATTGATTGCAAGCGCATCGAGGAAGCGGAGGTGGAAGCGCAAGCGGGGGCGGCAGCGGGGTACCAATCAATCAATCAATCAATCGAAGAAAAAAAAAGTGAAAAAATAAAAAAACGTCATTTTCAAACCCCATGGATATGTGTGTGTGCTATTGATTGATTGATTGATTGATTGGAAGCCGGGGCCGAAGGGGGAGGTGGCGCAAACGGACGTGGAACCGGACCCGGCGACGAAAGCGTTTTTGTTTTATAAGTTTTAATCAATCAATTAATTTTTTTCTCTCGCTCTTTCTCTCTTTCTCTCTTTCTCTCTCTCTCTCTCGCGCGCGCGCGTGCGTGCGCTCTCTCTCTCCCTCCCTCTCTCTCTCAATCTATGAATCAATCAATCAATCAATCAATCAGTAAAAAAGGGGGGAGGCGCACAAGAGGCGACCCCCCCGGCAACCAATCAATCAATCAGTAACTTTGTGTGTGTGTGTGTGTGTGTGTGTGTGTGTGTGTGTGTGTGTGTGTGTGCACGGGAGACAACCAATCAATCAATCATGTGTGTGTGTGAGGTTCGGGATGGTGCGGCACGTGGCAATCAATCAATCAATAAGAAAGAGAAAGAGGATAAGAAAGAGAGAGAAAGAGGATAAGAAAGAGAGAGATTGATGCTAGATAAAGAGAAAGGGTGAGCTGCCAGCTCCGGAATCAAGGAATCAATCAATCAATCAATCAATCAATCAATCAACTAATCAATCAATCGATTAGTCAATCGATTGGTTTATTGATTGATTGATCGATTGTTTGATTGCTTGATGGGTTTATTGATTGATTGATCGATGGTGCGGCACATGGCAAATGCGGCACGTGCCGCCACGTGGCAAGTACGCCCTCACCATAGCAGGTCATTCGGTGAGCCCTCACTGCCCACGTCGTGTACTGCTGAGGCCGCATGTACATGCGGGATTGATTGGTCAATTGATTGATTGCGCTCTCAATCAATCAATCAAGTAACGCGCCACGTCAACGCAGTTCATTCGGTTGAGCAACGTACCTGAATACTCACGTCAGCGCAAATTATTTTGAAAAGAAACTGCGTGGGCCAAAACGAAAAGAACCTAACTCCAAAACAAAAAAAATTCAGAAATTAACGAAATCCTACTCAATCAGTTAGTCAATCGATCAATCAATCAATCAAAAATGTCTTCATTGATTGACTGATTGTGTGTGTGTGTGTGATTGATTGATTATGTGTGTGTGTGTGTGTGTGTGTGTATGCGTGTGTGTGTGTGTGTGTGGTCGTCCTATTAATGTATGTGTCCTGATTGACTGATTGATAGGATCTTGATATGTCAAGATCCTATCGAATCAATCGATCCGAAATGATCTTGATATGTCAAGATCCTATTGAATCAATCGATTCGAAAGGATCTTGGTATGTCAAGATAGACAGTTCGAGAGAGAGAGAGCATCGGGGCCAGGATCGCACATCGTGAACGCCGGGATAAATATCGGAGTCGGGATCGCGGTGATTAAGGTCGGGATCGCGAAAGAGAGAGCGATCCCGACTCGATCTGGACTAATCCCGACTGAGTCAATCAATCAATCAATCAACCAACCAATCAGTCAAACTTGATTGATTGGTCAATCAATCAACCAACCAATCAATCAATCAATCAATCAAGCAACCAATCAGTCAAATTAACGAAATCCTACTCAATCAGTCAGTCAATCGATCAATCAATCAATCAAAAATGTCTTAATTGATTGATTGATTGATCCCCAACGTACCCGTATCTGCAGAGGATCGACATGGGGGGTCAACCAATCGATCGAATAATCAATCAATCAATCAATCAATCAATCAATCAATCAATCAATCCATCAATCCATGAATCAATCAATCAATCAATCTGTCAATATCGATGGATCAACTCGTTAAAGATCTGTCGATATCGAGGGACGGTTTCATCCGTCCATGTCGACGGATCAACTCGTTCAAGATCCATCGATATAGACGGATCTTCAACGACTTGATTCGTCGATATCAACGAATGGATTGATTGATTGATTGATTCTCTCTCTCTCTC